CCCCAACACCACCACCACCTTGTGTGATGTTTGACGGGAGGAGGAGTCAAGTGTGATGCCCTGAGCTCTTAATGCGTCCATCGTTCCTCCCGCTGAGCCGCTGCAGCTGCATTTGTGTCTGATGCAACTGTTGCACGAGCTGGTTTACACGATCAACGTGTTGACAGAGAGACGAGAAGCAGACGAGTAAAGTTCAGTGTGATGAAGGTCAAACAGATGCGGAGGAGATAAAAACACCATTTTACAGTTTTTCTATCATCTTCATGTTTTTGTGTTTCCTGTAACAGGTGTGGTTTAATTTGAAGGATCACAATGACACAAAGAAAACGATCAAAATAAGAGTAAAGGACCATTAAATAATCAGTAATGTCAAGAAAAATATGGAAGTACTAATAAATCTTTCACTGAATAATCACAATATTTACAGTTTTTGACAGAAAGTTGCTTTTCACTAATTCTTTATTCTAAGAGGAAATTAAATTTTAGTGTTTCATTTTAAATAAAAAATTAAAAAGACATAGTACATTGTCTTGTGTTGTAATTGTCTGCCATATTCTTCTTTCACACGTCTGCTTTTTAGCTCCACATCACATTTTGTCAGATCCTGCCTTTTTCTTTTTTCCTGTCTTTAACGGTCTTCATGATGGATTTCAGGGAACCTGACAGGAAACACTTATCACTCCAATAAAAAACAAAATACAACAAAACATTAGTGATACACAAATGCTTCAGTGATGGTATTTCTTGAGTTCCAAAAGGTTCACGAGTCCATACACACACTAAATATCTGATGGTAGGACAAACATTCTCTTGACATAAGCATGCGATACACAAACAGAGTTTCAGTCATGCAGAGTCAAAGAAGGAGGAAGTCTCATATCAAGATGTTTGTTTTTCTCAACATGTTGGAAACTTAAATCATTTTATTAGTGTGGTAAGGGTTTGAGCTACTTTTAAGGTCGTGTCCTTTGTGTTTCCACCCAGATGCAGCAGAAATGTGTGAGATGTTTGAACATGCAGGAAGTTTTGGTGAAATCTTATGCAGACATCTGCTGAGATTTCTGATCTATCCAGGTGGTTATAAAGAAAACCCCTGAGATTATGACCAGTTGACACGAGCGCATTTAGAAAAGTTTTTTTTCTCGAGAAGCAGAAAATAAGACAGAATTGAGTCACCTGCTTAAAAACCAGACAAATGGAACAGAAGATGAAAACTGATAAGTTTGTTGTTGAAGGATGTCTGAGAGTTCATGCATCTGTTAAACTGAAAAGAAAAAATGATTGTAGGGAATAAAGAGTCTAACTTTAGTGTAATTGTGTTTGTTTCACAGCTGAGGTTCAATCAGGTTCAAAGGAAACATTATTCGTTTCTGAGGGGAAGCAGCTGATAGACACATGATAGATAAGATTCAATAAGAACATAATGAATGTGCAGAATGATCACTTCCAAAGATGTTTTTGTGATTTCTTTTAATGAATGAAGCCAGACTTCCACTCTTGTTCTATTTGTAGATATTCACTCATCCATCCATTCGCTTATCCTTTTTCAGGGTCGCGGGGGGTGCTGGAGCCTATCCCAGCGGTCATAGGGCGAGAGGCAGGGTACACCCTTGACAGGTCGCCAGTCTGTCGCAGGGCTAACACACAGGGACAGACAACCATTCACACTCACATTCATACCTAGTGACAATTTGGATTATCCAATTAACCTATCCCCACAAGCTGCATGTCTTTGGACGGTGGGAGGAAGCCGGAGTACCCGGAGGGAACCCACGCAAACACGGGGAGAACATGCAAACTCCACACAGAAAGACCCCGGCCTGATGTTGGAATTGAACTCAGGACCTTCTTGCTGTGCGGCAACAGTGCTAACCACCGTGCCACCGTGCTGCCCAGATATTCACTCATTCATGTTATATTTTAAAGTTTTTGTTGCAATTTTTTGCTTCACTCCTTTCATTTTAAGGCTATAAAATAAACAAATAAATAAATAAAATATATAAAAATTAAAATAAATAAATATTTATTTTGTAAATACTTTGTATTTGTTACATTTTTTCTATCAGGATTATGTTATACTTCTGTTTTCAGTTTGTTTTGACTGAAAACCACTCTAGTTTTTATATGTATAAATGAGTATAATAGAAAGGTTTTATTTGGTTAAAAAAAAATTTGCCATCAGTAATCTGCACATAAAACGAAGCAAGAAGTACTGAGCATTTACACTATTTCCACCTGACTTTGAATGCACAGGAGGATTTCTTCTTTATTTCATTGAAGTAAACAGAAACAGTGAAACTCTGCAGGATTCCTACACTCACTTTCCTTTAGCAACGCCCCGCCCCTTTCAGCAGCAGTGACCAATCAGTCAGGAGACTCCTGAAAAAACAAAGTGTGTGATTGGAGCAGAGGAGGCTGGTTTCAAGGAACCCCCCTCACTCTGCTCTTTTGCTGGGGAAGCGGGGAGAGGGAGGGGTGCCTGAAAACCATCAGAAACAGACAGAGTGTGAAGGGTCCTGCAGACTGAGGAGAAAGAATAGAGGTCTGACAACTTCACAGACAGACAGATGGACTAGCTGTGGATTTACTGATAAACTTAACTGCAGTCCAGACTACTTGATCCACGGTGGACTGTGAGTGACTCTCAGGGAGAGTTTTACTGCTTCATTGTGTGAGAGAAAGGACTTTTCTCTGAGATATGACTCTGAAAGGATTCATAAGCAGATCATCACCTTTTCCTAAGAGAGGACTATACTTTGAAATACTTTTAATAAATAATTTTTGCTAACATTAGTTGGATGTTAAAGTGGTCTTTGCACTGAGTTTGCATCCTTTATTAAAACCTTTTAAAAGTTGATCAAACTTTTTTGGAGTTGGATCTGCTGTCATGGCTTTGGGGGGACACTGCTCCTTTTGCTGGTGGGTTTGGGGATTCACTCTGGTATATCTCTTCCAGCCTTGCAACAGTCAGCATGATCGAGGAATTTCCATCCCTGAGCATGGCTTCTGCCAGCCCATTTCCATCCCCCTGTGCACTGACATTGCCTACAACCAGACCATCATGCCCAACCTGCTGGGGCACACCACCCAGGAGGACGCCGGGCTCGAGGTGCACCAATTTTATCCTCTGGTCAAAGTCCAATGCTCCTTGGACCTTAAGTTCTTCCTGTGCTCCATGTACGCGCCGGTCTGCACCGTTCTAGACCAGGCAATCCCTCCCTGCAGGTCTCTGTGTGAGCGGGCTCGGCAGGGCTGCGAGGCACTCATGAACAAATTTGGATTCCAGTGGCCCGAGAGACTGCGCTGTGAGAACTTTCCCATTCATGGGGCAGGAGAGATCTGCGTCGGTCAAAACACCACCGAAACTGAGGGCCCCACCTCCGACCCCACCCCAAGTCTTTCTGAGCTTGTGACCTTTCCTCCATACATTTGGGGCAACCAGCCTTTCTTCTGCCCCCTGCAGCTCCAGGTGCCCTCCTACCTGAATTATCACTTCCTCGGAGTGAAGGACTGTGGCTCCCCCTGTGAGCCCTCCAAACCCAATGGGTTGATGTATTTCCAAGAGGATGAGCTAAAGTTTGGGCGGCTCTGGGTTGGAACCTGGTCTATTCTGTGTTGTGTCAGCACCCTTTTCACTGTCCTCACCTATCTGGTGGACATGAAGCGGTTCCGATACCCAGAGAAACCAATCATCTTCCTGTCAGGCTGCTATTTCATGGTGGCGGTGGCGTACAGTGCTGGCTTCCTGCTGGAGGACCAAGTAGTGTGTGTGGATAGGTTTAAAGAGGATGGCTACAAGCTCGTGGCTCAAGGCACCAAGAAGGAGGGTTGCACCATCCTGTTCATGATCCTCTACTTCTTCAGCATGGCAAGCTCTGTGTGGTGGGTGGTCCTTTCTCTCACTTGGTTCCTGTCTGCTGGGATGAAATGGGGTCACGAAGCTATCGAAGCGAACTCGCAGTACTTCCACCTGGCAGCCTGGGCGGTGCCAGCGGTGAAGACCATCACCATCCTGGCTACGGGACAGGTGGACGGTGACCTGCTCACTGGTGTCTGCTACGTGGGGATCTACAACGTGGATGCACTGCGTGGTTTTGTGCTGGCACCTCTGTTTGTCTACCTCTTCATCGGAACTTCTTTCCTGCTGGCTGGCTTTGTATCACTCTTCCGTATCCGCACCATCATGAAGCACGACGGCACAAAGACCGAGAAGCTCGAAAAGTTGATGGTGCGAATTGGTGTGTTTAGCGTTCTGTACACAGTGCCTGCCACCATTGTCATCGCCTGCCATTTCTATGAGCAGGCCTTCAGATCGCAGTGGGAGGTAACCTGGCACATGCAGACCTGCAAGCACTTTGCTGTGCCATGCCCAGCATCAAACTTTGCATCAAACACGCCAGACTTCACCGTCTTTATGATCAAGTACTTGATGACCCTTATTGTGGGCATAACATCAGGGTTCTGGATCTGGTCAGGGAAAACTCTACAGTCGTGGCGTCGTTTTTATCAAAGACTGATCAATAGCAGCCAGGGAGAAACCACCGTGTAGTACTGAAGAAATTAAAAACCTCTAACAGCCTGAGGTTGATGGACTACTTGAGGTAAAGGAGACACTAGTTTAGTGCTCAGTGGATCTTCAAGTCTTTTGGATCTCAGTGTACATACATGTAAGAAACTGTGTCATAAAATAGAAAAAAACCTCCTGAAAATCTGACATCCACTTACATCTTTTTAACTTTTCAGACTCAAACTGGATTATCAGCCTCTGGTCTGCCATGGATCTGGAAGTTTCCTGTTCTCTCTCTCTTTTTTTTAAATAGAAGAAGTAAACAAGAAGCAAAAAACAAAACAAAACAAAACACCACTTTGATCTGTGGATAAACCTGATTCATTTGTCCAAATCTTAAGATGTTTTGTCCTCCCAAAAGATCCAAAAGCCTTAAATTCATATTAAATATTTCATTTTTGTTCAAAAATACTGGCAACAATTTCCTCCAAATTTCCCTGTAACTGATTTCATGATTAATATATTCATTAATTAGTTATGGATGGTTTAGTCTATAAACAATTGCTTTGTCTTGTTTGGTTTGCTGGTGGTTGATCTGGACCTTCATTTCATTGCATATGTCGTTACAAGTAAAAGTCTTGCATTCAAAACCCTCCTTAGATAAAAGTCAAGGATGGACTCCAACTGTTCTACATCAATGATGATGTGGTTGTTTTTTTTGTTATTGTTGTTTTTTTTTTAAAATATGCTATTTATTTCTCTATTTTGTTCAAAGAAAGCTTTACTATATTAACATTGTAGAAACATGAACTAGGTTGGCGGAATAACAACAAAATTACAAATGAGAGTGGTAAAATTCATAGAAATTTAAACTCAGTCCAATTATAAACTGAGCAGTTATAAGAACAGCAGAATAAACGTAAAATATTTTTTTGTTGTTGTCATTTTGATTTTTCTTTCTGTAACAGTGGTGTCATGTGATGTCGCCTTCTCTAAAACACAAACTCTCTCCCTGTCAGGCTGTGGCAGGGTTAGTTCAGCGAGATGACAGGAAGACCAAGTTTTAACAACAAAATCAGTAAAACTGAATCTTTGGAAACAGGCTTGCACCAAAAATTTTTTAATTGAAAGTTATAGATGCTTGATGTTGGGATATGTTTGATACTTTTTATGTTTATAACACAATAAAACTGCGTGGGGGGGCAGACTAAAGCAAAAACGGAATAATAATTTAAAAATTCAGGGAATGTGGCTGAATTCTAGACCACTGTTCATGGAAACTAATAGAAGGCTAACCGGTATGCGTTGATTGTGGCTGTCACAATATCAGAATATCACTACATCATTTATTCCATGTTTTTGGCAACTAAATTAAACTTAAAGAGCAATTATTTGGATTCAATGTAAGTTCCTGGCATGATATTAGTGTTGTATTTTCTGCCATCATATTCAAGTTCAACTGTGATCCTTATTATTAATGCAGACATTTTGTACTCATCAGTCTGTCTTAATACTGCATTTTCAAAGTCTGTTATTATATATAATATAATATACAGGCATAATTTTTAATGGCACTATTTAAAGACTTATACTTTTTTCGCTATCTATAGCAGGCATTTTAAAATATTTTTGTGTAATTAATCATGATTTTAATAATTTTATGCTAAAAAAAATCTCTCTTAATTTGGACATTAGGTTAGGACATCACGGCTTCAGTAAATCATGATTAGTGACCCATGGCGCACTGTGAAACGTCACATTATAGTAATTAGATGTGTAGAAGTTACAGTCAAAGGAAAGACTTTAATAAAGTGTTAATAAAACAGACCTATAGTTCACAGAGCTCTCCAGTCACCTCACCAAATTCACAGCAGAAAACATTTTTACCATTAAAAATGTCTCCACAGCACTTAGTTCACATGAAATTTAAGATTTTAAGAGTTTCAGAGCACAATAATTATCACCTGCAACTATGTTTTTGCAGTTTGCTGTAACTCTCATAGATACTCTGTCCTGTCTGATTTGTAATTCATTCATCAAGTCGCTGCTATTTTATTTGACCTTCATCCCATCAGAAAACATACCAGAACCAATGGCTTAAAAGTATTTATTTTTACAGGTTGACTGTTTCACAGTTTTGAGACATCAGCAGCAAAAAGCTACATCCACAATTTTTCTCTCTGAGGAATTTTGATGTCCAGGACGAAAAGTGAGAGAATATCATATATGTAACTGAGTTCAGCATTATTTGAGGCTTAAAATAAAAGTCAACGTATTTTAAAATCAGCATTATAAGAGGCTGGATGTGGTGGTTCAGGAAAGTGTTTATAACAGTGTAATGTTTATAAATGTATTTATGTTTAACAAGCATCATGTTTGTATTTCTGTGAGGTTACCTGTCTTCAGCTCGTAGAGTTTTTCAGAATAAAATGCTCAAGTTTGTAACTTCTGAAAAGAACTCATTGATACATGAAATTCCACCCATCCAGCCATGAATCCATCCATTTTCTTCCGCTCTTCCCCGGGTTGCGGGGGCAGCAGTCTAAGCAGAGAAGCTCAGACTTCCCTCTCTCCGACCACCTCCTCCAGCATGTCCGGGCGTTCCCAGACCAGCCAAGATAATCTCTTCAGTGCATCCTGAGTCTACCCCAGGGCCTCCTCCCGGTGTTAGATGCCTGATCCATCTTAACTGGCTCCTTTCATGAAATGATTCTGAATAATCATAGAAAGTCTAAGTGTCATGGTCGATTTGCTTTTGTTAAAATTTTAACATTTCTCTGAAACCAGAAAGCAGAGTTCAGTCTTTTTCTTACATGAAGAAGAGCCGAAGATTATGCTGAACACAGCAATGAACCATTAAGTTACACTATCAGACATCAAAGTACTCGTGACTTCATACATAAAAGTAAGTAAAAGCACAGAAGGAACTAAACTCTTTCACTGGGAAGGAATCTGACTGTCCCTTGAAGGTAACTTGTCTCCATCTAGTGGTAAAAACATGAAATTAATTTTCACCCAAAGGTTGAAAATACAACTCTTGAAATTCAGCAGCATTCACACTGACATAACGGGCAAACAAAGGAAGATGACAGAGAAATGATGAGAGAGCATTAACATTGGGGGGAATTTGTTTAACCTTATGTTGAAGCAAAGTCGGCAAACCAAAGATCTTTTTTTTTATGCTTATCTATTTATTTGTAGATTTGACTGTCATGACATAAAAACACATTCAGAAAATCATTAATATAATAAGTAAATCACTTAATAGTACTACTTCTACTTGTAATAA